ATACTGAGTTATAAAAATTCATTATAAACATTTTGGGATTTAAAGATGTTAATTTTTACAATTAAAATCAGTCTGGCAAACAAATTTTCTTTATAGACTTCAAAACGTCGTTTGGCGAAAATGTTTGTTTCGCAAGTGCGACTTCCGAAACCGCTACTTTCGTATGTTGCAAAATAGTTTTGTTTCGTATGTCAACTTGCGAAATGCTAAATTTCGGAAGTGGCTTTTGCGAAATGAACATCGGCGATTTTAAATGTTTTGTAACATTCGGTACGAAAAAATGTAATTCCGCGTTCTCAATCTCCTTACGAAAGAATGTTGTTTTTCCGGAATTGTACGAAATCCTCCGGTTAACAACCCTAATATTTACAACATATTTCTTTTTTGTCACTTAGAAGTTAATGAAGTTTTGATACTTCCGCTTTCCACAAGGATTTCAAAAGTTTCTTTAACTATTTTTTTAAAATTTCAATGCTTAATTGTTTATACTGGTCTGTAAATTTGATTATGGTAAACTTCATAAAATCCTTCATATAACCATCATTGTACCATGAAATTACCATGAAATATCTAATAAAAAGTGTCTGTTAATCCTTATGAATTTGTTTGTTTTGTTTCAGACCTTTATCAGGGAAGCATTGATGCAGGCTTGGTCGGGAAGCGGGAGCGATCGCTCTCGAATACTGACCACGGAAACTATATTTAGTTGCGAAAAACTGGCCAGGTTTTTTAGTTGTTTTGAGAACATTTAAGTTTATGAACGAAAAAATAAATTTTGGTTTTACGAACAAACATGGAAAACATGGAAACATAAAAAACTTGAATGTCCTCAAAACATCTTGGTGCGGAAGAATAAAAAGAATATTCGTGAACTCTAAAATTCCGCCAAATTAACGAACAAACTAATTCTATTGGTTAAAAAATACACTGACTAAGCCAAATAAAGTTCTAGAGTATTATGTTGAAATGTTGTAGAAATTGTTTTATTCATGATTTGTTACGTTTTGAGATTTTGAGAACTATTATTATTTGTTTACATAAATAAATGTTTTAAATATATATTATTTAAATTGTCAAAATTTTGAAAGTTTATTATAATTTTTAGGTTTATTAGTATATACTTATTTAAAGAGTATGTATTTTTTATGTAAATGTAATATTGTGTATCTGTTTTTTAGCGATTTAGTTTGTAAACAAAGACTTACAAAAATAATTGCGTTTTCAATGAAGTTATTAATAATCATTTAAGTTAATTAAACTAATTATGTAGCAAACATGTAAGAAGTTTCTGGTTACTAAACACAAACTATGCATTTAAAGTATCTCGCGGATGAACAAGCACCGCGCCTGAGGTCACAACAGAACATAAATATATATAGCAAGTTATTAGATGTAAAGTAAAGTTTCTAGATATTGGTTCACTAAATCGAATTATTTTCGATTAAGTTGCTATTCTTAAAAACTCGTTATACTTTTTTTTGCTTTATATACAAATTAAAATTAAAAAGCCCACTCACTAACATCATTAGCGATATTATGAAGCAGTTTCGCTTCCTCGTCTTAAAAGTATTTTTAACTTTTTTAGTTGATTTCTATCTAGTAAATTTAATTTTTTTAGTAATTCAATGATTTAATTATTTCATTTGTTTTTCTTACTAAGAAGAATTGTTTCAAATATGTTAAACTTTTCAAACTACAAAAAAACATAGAATAGGTATTAAACAAATTAACTTTTTTATTTATAAAATAATTTAGCTTAGATAAAACTAAAACTTGCAAACTTTGATAAATAAAGAACATTTTTAGGTAAATGTATGATGTTACTTAATATAAAAAACGTCGCTTAATTTTTTTAAAAAAACTATAAAAGAGCGATGCTTCGAAAATATTTGTTCTAAACGTAATTTATTTTCCTTTAAGTTTTTTTGCGTTAAAAGATATTTTATTTTCCTAATTTTTTTTTTTTTGTATTTGTCTCTCATCGGTCCAATTAATCTTCGCATTTTTTTTTTTTTTGTTTTTTTGTTTTTTTAAAACGACTAAAAAATCTGGCCAGCTTTTCGCAACTAAATATTATTTCCGTGGTCAGCAATCCAGAGCGATCGCTCCCGCTTCCCGACCAAGCCTGTTGATGATGTCATAATTTTGTAACAATGTGCTATTTAGTATTTTATTTATCCTGGTGATAGTTTATTATAAGAAGTAAGAAACATTTATTTTATTTAGATTTAATTTTGCTATATATAGCAATTAAATTTATATATATATATATAATTACAGGCTTCGGCAGGAATGACGGGCTATAGCCCGTGTCCGTCTCCGCACCCGTCTAAGTCAGTTTAGACGGGCAAATTAAAGCCCGTCTGAAACATAAGTTTTGTGTAAAAAAAAAGATGAATATTTTGATGTTTTTTTATTAAGATACTCTTTTAAAACTTCTCTCATGACATAATTTTAATATGGATAACAAACTCCAACTTATAATTGTTTATATTTAAATATAAAAATTAAACAATTTAATCATTATTGTATAACATGATGTAGAAAATAATATAACTAAATCTTACAGTTTTTTAAACGACGATAACTGTTTGATATAATACCAAACAGTTACTATATTATGTTCAAAATTTAATAACTATTATATTAAATAGGGAAATATACACATGTGATGCACAAGAAGTATCATGTTGTTTTGGTTTTTCAATGTTTATAATAATAACGATAATAAACTAATTATCCATATATTTCGCTTTTTTACGTGATGAAACGCCATGGTTGTTTCGAGGATTTTTCCCGTCGTTTTCACGTTCATTCGTTTGACTATATCTGACAGATATTATCTGGAATAAAGATTAAAAAAAAAAACATAAAACACTGAATAAAGTTCCTTCGAGTAAAAAATTTAAACAAAAGCAACCATAAAACAACTAACCCACGTGAAACGAAATTAGATCTATGCAAGTGAAAACTTTGAAAAACAATTATTGAAATCTTAGTTTTAAGTATTATCCAACTCATTTACTGCAGTGTTTTAATTACTTAAGTAATTAAGCATTTTAAACAGTTAATCGCTTTCTAACATATTATTTTAGTGCAATTCACAAAATGTTTAATATTGAATGACATTTTCATTCAAAAAGAAGAAGAGAAATTAACAAATTTAAAAAAAAAAAAGTTCAAACTTTAGAATTTTTTTTAAAGTTTAAAAAAGCCCGTGCAAGACCATCTAGACGGGCAGCCCTCATAGCCCGCCAAGTCTATTTAAGACGGGCTTTTCATAGCCCGTATGGTTTTTATTCCTGCCGAAGCCTGAATTATATATATATATATATATATATATATATATATATATATATATATATATATATATATATATATATATATATATATACATATTATTTTAATAATATATATATTTTTGAGTAATATGTATATATATTTTTTAATAATATATGTTTTAATATATATTATTAATATACATTATGCAGCTCGCATTTTATTTTAAATGTGGTTTAAAGTTAAATTTAATTACAAACCAGTACTTTAAAATATGCTAATAATGCAATTTAACTTTTAACAGTGTAAATATCAGAGCTGTGTTAAAGTTAAATTTATTAGCATTACCCGTTTTTTTTAAAATAAAGTCTCATAACAAGGCCTAGTCTGGCATAGATTTGAACAGATGCAATTTTGGTATTGATTTAAGATTGCAAACTATGTAATAATAAACAACCATTGTTAAACATGGGTGAATAAAATGGTAATGTATGTCAACCAACTAGGTAAAGATAAGTTACTAACAATTATTGATGAAATATTGCATAGTTTCAACTTGAATTCTTATTTTTATACACTGAAGCCCTTTCATTCAGACTTTTTATTTTGTTCATAAATCCTAAGTCATTGTCAATAAATCTTAACTCATTGTCATTGCAATCAAAATCATCTTTTTCTAAAAATGCTTTAGAAACATCTTTTTCCAACAACTCATTCTTCGTTGATTGCTTTTACAAACTTAAGACACAGTCATAATTCTTACAATAACAACTAATTCTTTGTTGATTGCTTTTACAAACTTAAGACACAGTCATAATTCTTACAATAACAACTCATTCTTTGTTGATTGCTTTTACAAACAATTATAACACAGTCATAATTCAGAATTATGACACAGTCATAATTCTTACAATAACAAATATATTGCACTTCTTACGATTATACTTATACAAATTTTTTTTTTTTTTTTTTACAATTTTACTTTACCTCCTCAAGGCCGAAAAGGCCACTACAGACGAGGAGGCTACTTATTTTGTGGCTATAACCCTCTCTCAACTCTATAACTCCGAAACACGAACCTTGACGAACAAGGCCGCTGCGCGGAGAAACGAGTTGAGCGCGGTACTACCAGGGACGTGGTGGGGATTGAACTCGGAACCACTCGTTTATGAAGCGAGCGCTCTACCACTACACCACTACCGCATTTGATGACAAATGATTTATTTGTCCAAATATCAATCCCAGAGTTCTATGTAGTAAAATTTTGTGATATTGTCTAAGTAGTACCCTTTTCTCTCCTAATTACTTAATAAGTGCTTTAATTCCTTTATTTTTCTAGTTTTTTTCTCCGCACTTTAATGCTTTGGAACTCCCATCTTCATATTTTCCAGACTCATACAATTTTCAACTTTTCAAGTCTTCTGTTAACTATTTCCTTGTTTTTTAAAGCTATTCTTTATTTTCTAATAACTCCAAACTTGTTTACAGTTGTTTACAGTTATGTTGTTTACAGTTATGTTAGGAGTAGTTGTTTACTGTTATTTTAGGAGTAAATTAGATTTAAAAAAAAGCTAAAGATTTAAGATATTGATCCTAACCCAGACATTCAAGTTTCTCGAAACCAAAACTTGAAACAACACTTATTGACCCTAATATTCTATTTGTTTAACCTTTTTATAATTGAAACTTTATGTTATTTAGTGACTTTATTTGTTTTATAGTGCAGTCAATCAAAATCCAAATTGGACCTTAAATAATTACAGAGGATTTATAGAACTCACACTGTTGTAAGTATATTTTTGCAATAAATTTCAAATAGATAACAATCTTTTCAAAACTTTTACACAGCGTCTTTCATTAATAACAATTGAAATCATCAAGTATGAAAAATTTGTTACAATTTCTGTATATAAACCTTTTTTTTTGGCTTCGTTAAAACTGCATTAGTTCTTAAATAGTTATCATAGTTACCATTATAAAATGAGTATTTACTAGAGTCATATAATTCCGGAAAAATAAAATTTTTTTAAAACTATAATGAGAATAAGGAATTTATTTTTTTCATACCAAATATTGCAAAACATTTAAATCCGTTGGTGTTTATTTCGGCAATGTTGCTTACAAAATTTAGCCTTTTTCAAGTTGAATTACAAAATAAAACTATTTTGCTACATACGAAAGAAGCGCTTTCGGAAGTCGCACTTGAAAAACGAGCTCTTTCACTAATGTTTTAAAGTCTATAAAGAAAGTTTGTTTGCCAAAAGAATATAATTGTAAACAATAAAATCTTTATATATCAAAATGTTTATAATAAAATTTTATTTTCAGTATTGCAACATAGTATTCAGTATCGCAACATATCATACACTACTCTAAAGAGCGTCTCTTTTGCCATCTACTAAAATTCACTCTCATGTTATTCGTCATTTAATTAAGTCTCATCCTTTTTCTGTTACTGTTCCTAAGTGCTCCAAAAACTCTTCAAACATCAGTTCTTTGAGTTTTGTCTGTCAATCGTTATTTTGCTCTACAATCTTTGCAAACATGTTAAATAAAATTCTTCTCGTCTCAATAGCTTGTGTTTTCTTTTTGCAACTCTATTATCTCCTATGAAGGTACTGCTCTAAAACTCAGTTTTATAGTTCTTAGGCCAGCTGGTAGTTTGGTTTCCTGAACCCTGTGGTAGCTCAAGAGGCTGATTCCATCAACGTACTAACAGTATCATGTTGTGCATCGATGGTGTCCCTGTTCGTACTTTTGGTGTGCATTGTTGATGCCACATTTGGAGCCCTTTGTTTCAGCTTAGGCTTTATTAATAGTAATGAGGCAATTGCTTGGACAATTAAATAGTGAACTGAGTACTATCTATGCTTTGACTCAAGTTCTTTTAAGATTTTAAAATGACTAAAGTACCAAAAACTATAAAACCATTGTCTTCACTAAGTTCTCTAAATCTATTCACTATAATTATGGTCTTCAAAGTAACTTTTTTTCTGTTGAGTCTTTTCTCTTGCATAGCTAACCAGACTTACTTTCTCTTTGTGAGACTAATTTGAGTTCATCTTCCTTTAATTTGTGAAGAATTTAATAGTCACATGCTTGGCCTGGGCATTTACATTCGTAAGAATTTACCCATTTATAGGGAAACTAGGTTTGAATTCACAGACTTTTTCTATGTGCTTACATTTAGCACCACTTCACTCAATTGCCTTTCTCTTTGTTCTATATCGCTCTCCTTTATCTCAAGACTGCATTTTTTTTTCAATGGTGTTTCTCATCTATTTGACCAAGCCCTTTCTTTTTATCCTTCCCCCAATATTGTTGTTGGTGGTGACTTTAATTACCATGAATAGCTTGGTTCTAGTGTCAGTGACTCTAAATCTAAATCGTTTTCCTTCTCTACTCAACTTATGTTTTGTTTCTGATCCTAGTCAGTGCTAAGTTTCTTTACAATCAGCCTTAAATGCTTCTGATCACAGTTTGATAATTAAATAAATCTCTCATCTTGAATCTAATAACTTACTTTCTGATCATCACTATAAATATCGATCTCCTCGTTCTTCTGCTAGTTTGTTAATGGTAATAACTGATAAGTTTTATTGTGCATTAAATAAATTTGACTAGGCTAAGGCTATCTCTCTTGACATTTCTAAAGCTTTTAATAAAGTTTGGGCATACTGGTCCCCATAAGCTCTCTTTTTATGATGTATCAGATAACATCTTTAAGATTATTGAATCTTTCCTTTCCAATTGTAATATAAAGGTTGTCATTGATGGACATCACTCTTCTTCATATCCTGTAACTACAGGGGTTCCTCATGGTTTTATTTATTTTTAGCCCTATACTTTTTAATTTACATAAACAATTTTCCGGAAATTTTCACAATTAAAGTGGCATTGTTCGCTGATGATACTACTATTTATTCTTGTTCTGATAAGAAGCCAATACTCTCTGGTTGCTTGAGGGGGCATTTGTGCTTGAAAAGGATCTCACTTCTGCTACAGCATGGGGCACTCAGTGGCTGATGAACTTTAACTCAGATAAAACTCGATTTTTTTTCAGTTAAGTGTTATCACAATTGTCAATATCTTCCTATATTTATGAACACTAATGTACTTGATGAGTCATCTTTTCTTAATTTTTTAGGATTAACTCTTCTGATTTTTCTTAGACACTATATATCATATTGATTGCAAAATTAGCATTTCCTAAGGTTGCATTTCTTTATCGTGTTTGCCACTTTCTTACTCATTCTTTATTTCTATAAATCTAAAATCCATCCTTGTATAGAATACTGTTGGCAGATCTTCAAATGATACTTTTTCACTTTTTAGACAAGGCGAAAAAATGCATTGTAAACAAAGTTAGACCTGCTCTTGCAGCCAACCTCCAATCATTATCACATTGTCGTGATGTTGCTTCTTTTTCTCTTTACTATAAATACTATAATGAGCACTGCTCTAAAGATCTAGCGTCTCTTGTTTTATCTACTAAAATCCATTCTCGTGTTTCTTGTCATTTAATTAAGTCTCATCCTTTTACTGTGACTGTTTCTAAGTGCTCCAAAATTTCTTATTTATTTTGTTTTTTCTCAAACTTTGGAATTTGCCTCATTGTTTTCCTGATTCATAAAATTTGCAATCTTTTAAGTCATTTAATAAGTGCTTTAATTCCTATAAACTTTTTTTACTCTAATAGTTGTTGCTTGCAGCTTTGTTGGAAATGAAGATATTGAAAAAAATGTCTGTAGAACCCAACTTTTGAGGTAATATATAAATGTCTCTTGAACCCAATTTCTGAGGAAATATAAAAGATTTAGTAATCTAAGAAATAATCATAATAAAAAATATTTTATGCAAAAACATATTTTTATATAAGTTTTAAAATATCAAATATTTTAAATAAGCATTTTTTTTATGTTTTGAAAATAATGTTGCACCACATTTTGAGTCACGCATCACTTTTTTTATGCATATAATAATGAAAACGTATTTTCAAAAGCATCATTAGAAAATCAGTTGATAGCGCTAGACAAATGTAAACCTGCAGAGATATTCTAAATGAAATGCACTCTTTAAATTCAACCCTAATTTTAATCATTTTCTGAAATCTTTTTGCATGAGTTCAGTTCCAAACAGCTGTAAGCTAGCTAATATTATACCTATCTTTAAAAAAATGTCAAAAATAATAATCCTGAAAACTACCGCCTAATCTCAATTACATCTGTTTTATGCAAAATGATGGAAAGACTTGTTAGAGATGCAATACTTAATAATTTTAACAACCCTCCTAACACAATCCAACACAGCTTTACACCTGACTAGTCTTCTTTAACCAATTTATTTGAATCATTCAATTTAATTACCTATGCCATGGAGTCAGATTATGACATGATTGTAGTTTTGCTTGACTTTGTCAAAGTGTTTGATTTAGTCAATCTCTTGCTACTTCTTCACAAAGTTTGTGTGTACGGTTTTGACGAATATATCTGCCGGTGGATAAATGCACTTCCATCCAGTTGAAAACAATGAGTTGTTATAGAAAATTCAGAATCAGACTGGTTAAACATCTTCAGTGGTGTGCCTCAGGGTTCATGTATTTGACCACTACTGTTCCTTGTTTTTATTAATGATATGCCTCATCTGCTAACTGCCATTGCAAACCTTATGCTGACAACACCAAACTCATCACAATTATTACAGAGCCCTCTGACCTGCAGCAAATACAAATTAACATCAAAGGAGTAGTTAACTAGGCTGACACATAGTCAATTGACTTTTATCTAGAAAAATGTAAGTACACGATTTTCAACAAGTGTCGTCCCACACTAAACAAAAAAAACTTTAATTGATGATAAATTTAACAGCTTCTATGATTGACAAAACTGGATTTGTTCATATTCTTAAAGAGACTGACTCTAAAAATGACCTCGGTGTTTTGTTCACAATCAGTTTTCGTGAAACAATCAAGTAGAAAAAGTTATTTTAAACTCATATGCTGTTCTCAGAATTCTTAAACGCATATTCAAACATTGGACTTAAAATGTTTTGCCTTCTTTACTGTTCTTACTTAAGGCCTCATTTGGAGTATTGCTCAGCAGCATAGGGATACCTTTCAATTTAAAATATAAACTCTCTTAAAGCTGTTCAAAATCAAGCCACAAAACTTGTCCCATATTTTTGCACATTGGAACAGGCTTTCTCAGAAGACGCGTGTGGTCACACGTCTTGCATGGTCAATGCATATATATTTTTGCATATATTAAAAATGATACATTTTAAAAAGGCTCTGGAAAAACCAAACTAATTCGTCATCTTATTGTTTTTTTTTATTAATAATAATTTATCATTGTAATTTCAAAATGTTTTTTAAAATAGCGACAGTCAAATTGTCAAAGTAAAATAGTATTTGCCTGGTCATATAATGACGTGTAATTGCCTATTAACGCCTTCCTGTGAAAGTCTGCTACGCACCAATTTTTTTTTTTTTTCTTTTTTTAATTTTTTGTTTGGCATCCCTTTATACTGGATCCACTGGATATCATGTGTGATTGGTTGCTTTTCCAGCTTCATAAATTTTTCTGTTATAGATTAAATTTAATTATAGATTATAAAAATATAAATGATGTATTTAAATTTAATTTAAGTCTTTTTTTAGGGTTATTAATAAACCTCAGAATTGCGACAAGCAATTTTGCAATCAGTCACTTGTAAAAAATGGTTCTGCAACATATGTTTGTGCTTCTCCCATCAATCCTTGTGTAAACAAAGGTTAGTAATTTATTTATTTTTAAAATTTGAAATAGAATGACTTTTTTTGTACAACAGGCTTTGTTTTTTATTTAGAGTGTGGTAATAGTTTAACAGAATCTAAAATTAATGTACAAGGTATCACTTTTATATATATATATATATATATATATATATATATATATATATATTAGCGCTCGAAATAGTTTTTCAAAGTTTGCCAATCAAATGTAATTTTTTCACAAAAACAGGTTATTTTCCCTTGAATTTTTCAAAATTTTTTTTAAAAATAGCCGATCATTGATTGGTCATTATTTTGAGCACTGATATATATATATATATATATATATATATATATATATATACACATATACATATATATACATATACATATATACATATAAATTTAAATTAAAATTTTGATACATACATATATATATATATATATATATATATATATATATATATATATATATATATATATATATATATATATATATATATATATATATATATATATATATATATATATATATTTTATATATATATATATATATCTTAAATTTTTCTAATAAATTTTAAAAAATTATTAATAAAAATGGAATTTGAAAAACATTTAGGGACTACTCTTGGTTCTGTTTTGTTTCTTATCTACATTAATGATCTTCTTGATAACCTTACATCTAAAGTGGCTCTATTTGCTAATGACTTATCTTTATACTCCTGTTTTGACAAAAAGTCTTTTTTTTTTCTATTGCTTCTATTTTCAATCTGGTGGAGCTTTGTTCCATTGAGTAAGATTGGTAAAAGGATTAAAATTCAGCAAAATTTGCAAGTTGTACTTAACATACATCAAATGCATTTATGGTGCAGTTTGTGTCATCTTTGATGGATATGAAACTTTTTCAACAGTCAAATGAGCATGCTAGAAGACAAGAAGGAAAAATTCTTATCTGATCAATGTGCATGAGGATAATACATTGCTGTTTGGCTGGAAGTGCTATTTATTAGCCCAACAAAACAAAGTAGAGTTCTTTAAACCACTAGCACAACATTTTAAGGCTGCATGGCGCAAAGTACATATATCTCTAGGTGATGCTGATACAAAAATTGTTTCAACCGTTTCACAGTTAGCGTCAAATAGCAAATTTGTAGTTGAAGCTGATGACACAGATGTAGCTGTTATGCTTTTGTATCATTTGAGAGAAAACATGTTGAATGTCAATCAGCAAGTTTAAAGAGCACTTGTTATTTGTACATGTATTGTAAGGATGTGATACCATCTTTGCAACATACAAAAAAAGGAAAATCCAGCTTTTTAAGTCTTTTAAGAAAATCTAATGCAGGCCTTGTTAAGAATCGTTACGCAGCTCGCATTTTACCTGTGAAAAGGCGATTTGCCTATGCGTTCAGCAGTTTTGGGTTACGCAAAAACTTTAATCTTTTAGAATATTTTAAATTATCCTTTGATATCGTTAATGTGACATTTATTCAGAAGAAAATAAAGTCGTAAGTAAAAGCATTTAACCGCAATTGTAAACTAATAGATTTTTTGTTAAAGAAAAATTTGTTTAATTATTTTTATTGTTGTTGTTGTTAAAAATTAGTTAAAAAAAAAATAAGTGTTTTAAGTTTAAACTTTTTATCATGTTTAATATTAAGTTTTATATTTCATAAGTTTAAAAACAATCAAATTTAAAAAAAGAAATATTTTCAATTTATTTTATTAAATTTAAATATTCTTTTATTAATTATAGTTTTTAGTAAATAAATTTATTAAATTTAATTAAAATTCTTTCATTTAATTTTAAAACAGAGCATTTTAAAATTTTTTAATTTTAAAATGCTCCGTTTTTTTTATGATAAAATTTCTAAAGTAAAAAAAGATTTAATAAATTTAATTCAAGTTACTTTAAAATGTTTGTATTACATATAACTTTATTTTAATTTTAGTTAAGTTTCAGGTAAGTTCCAAATACTGGTCTGAATAATGCGCTTAACAAAAAGCGCATTATTTTCCAGTTTTTATTTTTCCATTATTTTACAGTTTCATTCATTATTTACAGAAGCGCATTATTCATTTTATAACTACAAGTTAATAAATGATGTCAATACTTTTAAACTTGAGTTATAAATGTTATGTTTGGGTTTTCCCTTTGCCGTTTGCCGAAGAATATTTTTTATAAAACAAACCAAGGACGTATTAATAATACGTCCTTGAACAAACCAAAATTTAAACCTATTAAAAATAACGCGATCAGTAAATAAACTCTTTAAAAACCCAACTTATCTTTATTTTATCTTAAAAACAAAACTAGTACTTGAGCTATAAATATATAGTTATTTTTATTTTATTTTAAAAAAAAAACTAGTACTTGAGCTATAAGATACATAAATTTCAAAATTATAATGATATTTGTTAAAAATAAATTCTGCTTATAACATCTCTAAACCGAAAACACTATTTTTTTTTTGGATTGAGAAAAAAAATATTAGGTTTCACTGTACATAAAAATAAAATATTATAATGGAAATAAGAAAAAAAAACAAAGCCGAAAAAGCAGTAAATTTCGTTTCTTTACAACATTTATTTATCAAAACCAGTTAGTGCAAACGTTTTTTTTTAAAGGGGAAAACCCAATCTATGCGTTTAGTTTTAAGTACATTTAAATCCCTTTAAGAAAATCAACCATAAACAAGTGTTAAATTTAAATTATTAAAAAAAAAATATTTAAAAAAAAACAACCATAAAACGAATGTTTAAAAGCAAAAAAATTAAGTTTAAATAAGTATAAGATTTCAATACAAGAAGACTTTTTTTTAATCAACATTGAAATTTTTTTTTTTTTATAACAACATTGTTCAATTTAAAGCTATTTCGTTTCAAAGACTAACAATAGTTTTTAATGTCATTTTAAATTTAATTACAATGAAGTAAAAACGCAACTGACGTAATTTAACTTTTAACAATGTAAATATCTTTATTGAGTAAAGTTACATTTATTCACGTTTCGCTTTTCCGTTGCGCAGCGAAATCTCGTAACAAGGCCTGCTAATGAGTTCTTAAAAATGTCACAATTAAATTAACAATTTGTTGGATAGATTAAGGTGCAGTTGGTAAAGCAGCAAATTAGTCATTTAAGATTATTTAAAATGGAGAACTAGTTGAAACATTGACAAAATTATGGTTCGTATACTATATGTTATAAATTTACATAATCTATATAAGGCTGTGTGGTTAACCGAACTGAACCGTTATTTCAGTGAAAACCGAAACAAAATAATCAAACCGAAGCGATCTAATTATTTAAAATAAAATAAAAACCAAACCGTAACCGAAAAAACTTTGAAAAACCAATCTAAAATTTTGAAATGTCAAAAAGATTATTTAATACCAAAAATTATCAATAATTATAAAATAATATATAGTTTTTATCTAATTTAAATAATTTCAAACCACAGAAAAGCAAAGTAAAATAGGGAACAATGTAAACATAAAATAGTCCGCAAACAGCAGACTTAAAATTGCCATGAAATTAGAAAAAATATTGTGGACCGCAATGGAGTAAGATTTTTTGAGAGTTAGTCTTGTAAAATCTAAGTATTGTACAAGTTTTTTCTAAGAAGCTGCATTTTTTATTTTATTTAAATTTCTAATACTGTTTACAATACTTACCTTATAACATGGTTATTTTGAAAACCTTGTTTTCTAAACTGTTTTCATTGTTTAAATAATAAAACTGATATAATCAAAAAAATTCGTTTAAATATTATTAATGCCTTTAGGAGCATGCAAGGTGTAAAATAATTTAATATTTGAATTGTAGCTAATAATGTTCTAGAAAATAATACTTTTTAAAGATTTTGAAAAATTTTTAAGTTAAATTTATTTATGTTGTTATCTAATAATATTCTTTTTCAAAATTAAGTTTTTATTTATGTTTATTTTTTTATGTTTATTATACAGTTTGGTTGTCTCACTAACCCTTTATATTTTATTCACATTAAAGATGCCGAAAGAAAGCTATTTTTGGAAATTCTTTGAAAACTCAAGTAAATTTGAAGCAAAATGTAAAATTTGCTTCAAATCTTACAAAGTAAACTGTGGCAGTACTTCAACAATAACCAGCCAAAACTAAAACATGAAGTATCTTGGAAAGAACATGTTTTAAAAACGACGGAAATACTTAATAAACAAAACTTAAAGAAAAAAAGATAAATGAGACAAAAACATTACAAAAAACCAAAAATATGGGTTAAATGATCCAAAGTAGTTAAAATTTGACTTAGATTTAACAAAATTTATTTGCAAGCTTGGTCTACTGTTTGAAATTTTTGACAATGAAGGAGCACAAGAGTTTATTGACAAAGTAAAATGCAAATTTACTGTAAAATCTGCATCAACATTTAGACGTCAAAAACTTCCTTTGTTGTATGAAAAGGTAAAGAAGAGGTTGCAAATAAAATTTCTCAAAGTTTTTCTATAAGTAGCCGGAGTTACTTCTGGAAAATCTTAACAGATCTCTAGTCAGGTTGAAATAATGATTCCTACATGAGTCTTACAATTTACTACATTAGTTAAGAATTTAATTTAGAAAGTTTTTTCATTGCTTGCTCACCATTTACTAGTAGACCCACTGTGGTTGCTTTTGTAGTAAACCTGGACTCTTTTATTGCTAATTTAAGCTTAAATGAAGAAGTTCATGAAAAATGACAATGGCAGCAACATTGTTTTAGCTGCTATAGAAAGTGATGAAATTAATTCAGAATTGCAATTCAATGACAACACAATTCAGCTAGTTATTCTTGAAGCAATCAAAAGTTCAATTGAACTTTCTAAAGCAATAAAAAAACTTTACAGATTTAGCATCACACACACATAGAAGTGTACTCTCTGCAACCAAGTTTCAAGATGCTTGTGAAGAACTTGGAAATAAGCTCAAGAGATTGGTTGTTCCATGTACAACATGGTGGAATTATGATTACATGTGCATAAAGTCCTTGAAGTCAAAGGTGCAATCAAAAGACTTGCAAAAACCAATGACGAGTTTGAAAGGTCATGTCCCTCAGATGATCAATAGAAGACATTAGAATAAAGCATTCCATTTCTTGAAAAAATTTACAATGTTTTAGTAATC